AAAATAAATTATTTCGTTATTAAACTTAAATTAAATTATAATAAAAAATTAAATTAAAAAAATTACATAAAAAATGAGAACTTTCAAATAGTTGATTTGATATTAACATTGATATATTTTTTTCCAAATATTTATGATATCTTCAAATTTATATTTTATTCAAAAATAAAATTATTATTGTTTTCTTAAAAACACATAAAATCATATTATAACATAGACACAGACAAATAATAAAATAGAACATTAAAATCGAGATGTGTCTCGCTGCATTACACAAGTACTCTTCTAGTCAAGTAATAACAAATATACTAATATTTTTATATAAATTATCTATAAACGTATGAAATTCAATTTCATTTCAAATTCTATAAACCAAACACTCCAAAGATTCCAAGTATTTCAATAAAATTCCAAATATCTGAAAACACGTTATTTTCTATGCTTTTTTTTATATTATCAATTTTCCGATTGGATCAAAAGGGATGCATATAACACCACTTATTAAGTCAAATAATGTGTACCTTGCCACTGGGTGCAGCCAGGTGAATGGACCCATGGACCATGGTCCCAAGCTAAGCTAACCACTTGTCAGAACCGATATTTCCAGTAAAAATGCAAACTTTTAACAAGGAGAAATTAAATGAACAAGTTAAAAGACCAAGTTCATATATGCTACTTATAACATACCCATACCCGGACCAATCGGGCCATTCGGCTACACAAAAGATGCGTACGTAAATGAATGTAAGATTACTATCGATCTAAGAGATGTGAAGTAAACGTATCTAGGCATAAAATAGACGTTTTTTTAGCAGCGTATCAGGATGAACGGTTCATAGCTACTGTAACTATCGTTGGGTATCAAATCTTCGATTCTTTAGCATAGCTTCATGATCCGATGACTAAAAAAACTGCATTCCATCCCATCGGAGAGTCAGGATTTGACGATGAAAGTGATGCACAATAACGATTATGTAAATGGGATTTACATTTTTCATCACGGGTTTCTGATCCTCGGGTTTTAAGCTGCTAATCTCTCTTGAACGTGTAATGTGTTACCTCCGGCCCTACCTCGCTTTTTTAGTTTCTTCCTGAAGCTGCGCTTCCTGCTAAATGCCTTTTCCTGTAGCCATGGAAGAGATTAAAAAGTGAAAAAGGAAAAGCTATTCATCGATCGCAAGCACGATCGTCACCCTTTTTTTAGGGGAGAGGGGATAGAGAAAGGCGTTGTTTTTTTCTATAAAAGAACTCGTATTAGCTTCTCATGCCTGATTCCTTAAGAGATAGGGTCATTTTGACTGTTTGTTTTGCCAATTTTTCAGAGACATTTATGTCTGATAAGAGGTAAACCGACCTCTTATTTGCCTCTAATTGTTCTTCAAACCCTCAACAACGGCATTTCTCTCGATCAACCTTAATCAATCATTTCTCTCGATCGATCCTTACCAAATCAATCATTACCTCTCTCAATTGATGTATTTTAATAGGATTTAAATGTGTTAAATACCGTTAATGACATATTTTCGTTTAAATGAATGCTAATTACATAATTTAGATGTAAATTTTGTAAAGATGATGAATAAATATGTGAAATTGTATAAATTTATCTATAAATTCAACACTATAATTTTTAATATGTAAAATAGATTTTTAATAAGTAAAATAGACAATTTAAACAAATGCAGACGTATACAAAAACAAACAGTCTTATTGATTCAGACTTCAGCACCACCTCTTATAAATCAGAACTGAAATGACTTCAGGCTTTAGCACCTCTTAACAAACAAACGCCACCAAAGAGTCTAATGCAGGGGTTTGACTAATTGTTTAATGTCTAAAATGCCCCTAGATAAAAACTAGATAAAGAAACTTATGGACAAAAAATGTTGCATTTATATAGGGAGGTAGAGTCGGGGGTGGGACGTATGCAAACTTGACCTCTATCCTAGGGAGTAGAGCGGCTATTTTCATGAAGACCTTGGCTTGTGCAAATTGGGTGGAAAATAGAAAATAGTAACATTCTAAAAAAGAATTACTTGAAAACAAGAAAGGGAACTAGGTGTTCTTTGTTGGTTTTTCATTAAGTCCTATGGATAAAATTGTCTGTGTGGATTAATCGGCCTATCTAGATTGGGATGGTTTTTGTTTGGGAGGGCTTTTTTCAAGGGACGTGTTCTTTAATTGGAGGGGCAAGTTTGGAAAAAAAACTTGGTTTTTTGTATAAAGCTCCCCCTAGAAGCTTACTGAATAAGCCACTTTCTATATGATTAAGCCACTACGAAACAGTCATATACGACTGAACGCCTGACTGAATAAGCCGACTCCCATTAAGCTCATTAAGCTGCTAACAAACAGGCCCTAAGTTATATAGTGATAAAGAAAGCATATAAAGATAAAAAGGGAATCATAAGGCTTAAGAAATCTTGACATATCAATCAGAAAAGCAAACTTACCACTGGCTCACTTAGTTTCCCAGCTTGACGAACTGCAGCAACAAGATCACGATTTGACTCGTTGTACATACTTGTAACAAGGCCTGGTTGACCTGCTCGGGCAGTACGACCCACCCTGTGCAAGAAATCTACAGCAGATGTCGCAAATTCCGCCTGCAATCAAATAGAATAATCAAGAATCAGATCCATTTAAGGAACTCAATGGAACCAAAACCTTTTCGTAAAAACCCATTTCACATATAGAAAAGTAGATTTGCGAGCACCTTATAAACTCAAAGTTGCAGGCTACCAGTTACTTTCACCATGGTTTCAAGTTAATGAGAAGTTATTGGGTCAGTCTGCTGCTTTGGGCTATTGTGTATTACTATTACACGTTTAATATGGAAAAGAAAAACCTTTCGACTACCTGGATAACATGTGAAACATTGGGAATGTCGGTACCACGAGCAGCAGCATCTGTGCACACAAAAACGCCGCCTTTTTGTTGAAAATCAACCAAATTTCTTGTGCGTTCTTCTAAGGAGCTCTCGCTGTGATAACAGTAACATTCAATACCCGCTCCTTGTAGGACTTGCGCTACAGCTTCGACAGCCTCAACCGTGTTTGCAAACACCATTGTTCGACTCAACCCAGTATCAGAACTCGACAAATTTGTGTCAAATTTATGATTGACAGCATCTATAAGTACATCCACTTGAGTGTCGACTGTAACTTCAATCCACTTCTGCTCTAATCTGGATCCACAGAAAAAAAAACGTGTAAAGCCCAATAGCGAAACTGTAATTTTTTGCAGAAAAGTTGGAAAGAAACCTTGGATTGTGACGATGAAGATAATGCCCGCTAACCCATTTGGCATCTGGAAACAACCTCTTGAGTTCACCTCCTGCAGTTCGTTTTCCGTTCTCGGGAAGTGTTGCTGCGATGAAGATGTACTGTTTAGTACGCTCGTATATTTCTCTTGTCCTTTTCCAGTCTCGTTTCTTCATAACCGGTTCGGTTTCTTCTAATGAATTTCCAACATCAGTCTCATCCTCACTCTCTTCATCATCTTCAGGAAGGGATTCCTCACTATCTTCATAATCTTCAGGAATGGAGTTCGTTTGTGTGACTTCATGGTCGTCTAACTCAATCTGTATAGTGGATTCAGACTCCATGTCCAATGGCTTCTCGGACGTAGAGTTTTTTGCCCGTGATAACAGCTTTTCATCAAAACGGAACATGTTGATGAGGCGAATAACTTGGTTTTGGAAACTCCCACATAGGAGCATGTCTGCTTCATCGAAAACCTACCAATTATTTGAAATTTTAAGAAAGACAGTATCTCATCGTGAAAACAACAAAACCAACGACTACATTGCAGGAAAATGGTAAACTGAAGATTACCACATGTTTAACATTACGAATAAAATCAGCACGACGACGCCTTTCTGGATCGATTGCGTGAAGGTAGTTCAGAAGAGCTGCAGGCGTTGACACAATTATGTTGGGTTCATTAACTGGCCAGCCCTGCAGAAAAAGAAAATCACATAACGTAGTTTAGTATAGACTTCCATAAAAGAACAATCGGGAAAAAAATTGAAGACACTACCATAGAAAAGGCAAACACTATAAGGGTTGTTTGGTTCGCGGAATTCAAAGGAATTTGATGTATTGGAATGACAAATTCCTTTGACCAAATTCCAATTCTTTTGTTTGTTTATTTCTTGAAATTGATGGAATCTTTCAAATTCCATTGAATTCCACAAATTAATGAATTCATCATTCCTTGGCATAATGGAAGGAATTGAATTTCATCACCACCCACCATGACCATGCTACTATTGTTCGTCATGCCCCACCCCTACACTACTGTCGCCGCCACCCACCACTAACCACCATGCCACCACTGTTGTCATCACACCCACCCACCCCCCTTCACTCACTACATATCCCTACTACGACAATGCTATTACCGTTACTGGCACGCCCCTAACCTAACCCCCACCACCACACCATTATTGTCGTTGTCACAATTGCCACTCACCCCCAGCCCCAGCCACCCGACCACTATCATCGTCACAGCTACCACCCCACTATCCCTCCCCGCCCCCATCCCTTCCCCACCTTACCCTAATCCAACCCATCACTAACCACCATCCTACCACTGTAGTCGTCACAGCTACCACCTTGCCCCACTCTTGCCCCACCGCCTCACCCCACCCTGCCTTCCCCCAAAACCCCCCACCTATTGAGCAGGGGTGGTGGGACAGGGTTTGGTTAGGGGTGGGACAGGGTGATAGCTGTGACAACGATAGTAGTGACATGGTGGTTGGTAGGGTGTGGGCAGGGCGATGGGTGGGATAGTTCAAACAAAGACGATTGTTCCAAATCTATTCAGAGATTTCATTCCAATTCCTACCAACCGTTTAGGCATGGTCAAATTCCATCAAATTTCATTACAATTCCTTCAAAGTCAAATTCCTTTGATGGATTCCAATTCCATCAAATACCATTCTATGAACCAAACACCCCCTAAGGTGCTTTTGGTAGGCAGGCATGATTGGACCGGATGGGACAAGATCAGACCCCCTATATATTGCTAAATGCACCCTACCTACTAATTTCTTATGGGGAGACTAATTGCACCCTTATACATTGTTAAATGCACCCCTATCAAATGATTTTCTTCTCACACATCAACATCAAAACCTGCTTTTTACACTCCCAATGCACGACTTGACCGGATTATGACATTAAAGGAGGTGCAAATAGCATTGCCCATTTCTTCCACACATACATCAACATCAAGGCTTGCTTTTTACATTTTCAATGTATGATTTGACAGGATTACTGCATAAATAGTGGTGCATATAGCAATACCCTTTAGTATTTTACCAATATTGTCCCATCTCCCTAATATTTGTTCCACAGTGAGAAAAAAATGCATTTTTCTCCCAAGGTAGCCTAAATGCATCCCTATATATTGTTAAATGCACCTCTACCCATTAATTTCTTCCTCACACACATCATCAAACTTACTTTATATTTTCAATGCATGATTCGACCTGATTCTGACATAAATAGGGTGCATATAGAAACACCATTTTATCCCGGTCAGTTTGTCCTGTACCAGTCTAATGTCACACCAAACGTGAGACACAAGTTTTTGTTCTGTCATGTTCTATCATGTATTGTCCCACATACCAAACGCACCCTAGTTGAATTGAGAGAATAACAGTACTGCATTTTTACATCACCTGTCGTCCACAGACAGCTGCAACTCGGAGAAGTGGTTCTCCGTTATCATTACAGATACAATTGGCCATTCGAACCACTTGCTCACATAACATGACATTAGGGCAAAGAACAAGAGACATATGATGAGTCTGATTCACTTTTTCATCAAACAGAATATCACTTGAATCATTTGTTGTTGTGCATAGCTTATGAAACAATGGAACAAGATAACCATGAGTTTTGCCACTACCAGTTTCTGCTGCAACCACAACATCATTTCCAAGAAGTATGGAAGGTATAGAAGCAGCCTGAAGTAGAATGAAACATATGTCAGTAACTACCAAAAAACTAAGTCTAAATTCTTTAGGGGAATTGTCGAAAATAGCCATTCTAAACTCCCCAATTCATTTTATAGCCGCTTTTTTACTCAATTTACCAAAATAACCAATTCACAAGTAGACTTTAGAAACTTTCAAAATCTACTTTTTATAAATATAATATTCATAATGTAACTTGTTAACAAGTAGCACTTTAGCAAATTAGAAAATTGCTACGTGAGAAATATCATACTCGTAAAAAGTGGATTTCTAAGTGCCCTCCTACTCACCGGGCCTGTCGATGGGAGTAGGTTGCGCGCTTAAGCGCCATCCCTTGGACTAGTTGATTAGGCAGGTGAGTCGTTAAAGTGCCACTCGCAAAATTTTGGATATTTCAACTAATTATATATAAAACTAGCTATAAAGTGAATTAGGGTGTCAAAAATTGGCTAATTTGGACACATTTCCATACATTAAACCATGAACAATATAAAAAATTGAATGAAAAAAGAACAGTGATTTGATCAAATAGTTTACAGCGACTAATGAATTACCTGAACCAGAGAAGGGCGATTGAGTCCAATGCTAGCAAGAGCTCGAGAAACTCTATCCGCAATCCCTAGCGAACTCCAGGTAACAGTTTCATCAGCAAAGAAGATGTCGGTGATTTCCTTTTCATCGGAGGAGACGGCGGTGGCAAACGCCCTAATTCGATTTCGTGGACGGTGGCGGAATCGAGAGGTGAGTGATGAACAAGAAGGCGGTGATGATAAGTTGAAAGGTAAAAGGATGAATTTGGGAGACGACAATGATGGTAACTTGCAGAAATTGAGAAATGGAAAGGAACGTTGAAGAATCATCAGATTTACGTCAAGAATAGTTGATTTTGGATTAAAGAAACAGGGGTGGGTGTTCTTGCAGAGATTTTGAGATTACGTTTTGAGGGGTTTTGATGGGGTTTTATTCACATGACCTATTGGGCTAAAGGGACATAAAGAAGGGTCCTTTTTGAAAATTTCAAAATTTTTAGTGTGTTTCCTCTCTATGATGCTTCTTAAGGGGGTGAAATGTAAAACTGGGACAAAAATTAGTAGGGTTGCACAAAAACCTGATAAAACCGTCACCTCCTTTGACGGAATCGAAAAATAGAGGCCAAATCAATCGAAACCCCAATTGATTCCTAATATATGCAAAGTGTATATTTGGGCCGGCCCCTATTGAACCCAATCTGATTGCTCGGTCTAATTATTTAGGGTTTTTAGTTCGTCTGTAGTGTGTTTGTTATGTGGGACGGGATGGGATGAGATAGAGCAGATCAAAATTTGGTGTGCCATGCTTGGCGTGACAATGAGTATGCAATATGACATGATCGAGTTTGATTGAATAGAAATTAAGAATATGAGACAAGATAGGTAAATTACTAAACTACCTATGTATAATTAAAACCTTCCACAACTGACAATCGGATGGATACTATGTAGTTAAGAAGTAACTGTTAGTAATTGACATTCTTGAGTAATTGATATTTTTGTTTTATATTTTAATTTAAACTACGTTCTATTCGAATAATCCAAACAACATAAAGTGTTGTTATAGGGTCGATCGGGTTTTGTATGGTCTTCAAAACACGAAGTTGTTTTTTAGGTTATCAAATGTCCAGGACCCATTTAAGATAGTTCATTAAACACATTTTAGATAAGTTTTTACTTTAAGAAATGTAATCTATTTTGGGAAAAATCAATGAAATGTCTAAAAAATACATAAAACAAATAACAAAATAATCAATTTTTTTTACGTATTTCAAAAAAATGTCCATACTTTTGCTAATTTGGTGAAATTTTTATTTTTGTTATGAATTATTAATTTAAAAAGTCAAAAGACTTCTTTTAAGACTTGTCAAGGAGACCCACTTCTTACTAATTCACCCAAAACACCTCAAATTGACAAACTGTGTTTCTTTTACTATTGGAAACCGTTTCCCAAATTAAGCACTTACCAAATCATATTATCTGTTTGGAAGAATATGGTAAGAACCAAGAATCTTAGGGGTTGTTTGTTTACCTCTTAATAATTTCATTAAGAGACAGTCTCTGAATCATTAAGAAGTGAATCTTGTTTGACAAAAAAAAAGTTGGTCTCTTAATGGTTCCAAAACTCTCTGAATTATTTTGTATCATGGATCTCCCTTAACCATTAAGAGCTCTAATTTCATCGTACACAATTACCAAATAATTATATTTCATTTTGCACTATATCATGAGAGCCTCTTAATCATTCTGCATCAAACCATTCAACAATTGTCAAACAACCCCTTACTTGGTAAGAACGAAAAAATGACCAAGAATCTTACCCAGTAAGTGTTACCACTGTAAGCGCTTATAGGGTAAATTGTTGCATGCGATGTGTTTTGGTGGACTAAAATCTTACCCGCTAAGTAAATAATAGTGTTAATTTTACCGATAAATACTTACCGAGTAAGTATCCGGTAAACAGCCCCTAAGCGAGCTTTTTATGACCCATTTATGACAATCAATAATTCATGACATTGGCTAAATGTTTAACAAAGGTACTGACCATTTTCAAAAATATGTCCAAAAACAAAAATCTGTTTTATTGATTTTTTGAAATAATCAGAATATATTGCCATTTTACGTAAAAAAAACATATTGTTTAAAATTACAACTGACTTGACACATTCTAATTTTCATAACATATTGGTCCCTCGACCTAATACCATTAATCCTTTCGCCGTTAACTCTAAATGGCGTGGAATATAGTGGGGGCTGGATTTTTTTTAAATCTTTCACTCTTATTAAGATTCTTATAAAAAAATCTTTCATTTTTATAAGGTAAGATTCTTGATTCTTATCATATTCATTCATCAGATAAGGTAATTTAACTTGATAAACACTTATCCGAGTAAATGTTTAGTAAACAACCCTGATCCAATATTGATGAGTTAATAGGGAATCTATACATACATACATACAATTGATATGGATGCACAAACATTATATCGCTACTTACGCTCTCAATTGCGGAATCAGCGTGATCGGTATAACAGGACAGAAATCAACTCTCTTTTAGGTTCTATTTAAAAGTGAAATCCAAAAAAATACCAAATGGGGGGTTCTTCTTCCCTCCCCATCTTCAATTTGTTGCCTTGAATGTTATGCTAAAATGTTGTTCGAATTTCTTCGTTGGTCTCACAGAGTTTACCGGATTCTGATTACAGCGTTCTCAAGCTTCTAAAAACACTAGAAGATCTTCATATTTAAAATATCATATACCTGCGTATTTTAAATTAAAAGCTTCCGAAAACCATAACCAGAATCCGGTAATGGAAGGTAAATTCCAAGCAGACCAACGACAAAACCCACAACAACACGTTGTCACAACATTCAAGGCAACAAATTGGGAGATAGAGAAGAAAGAAGAACCCAACATCGAATGCGTTTTAGGGACCAAATCCAAAATTAAAACATAACCAAGGTCCAAGAAGGCCTTATTTATAATCTAATCTAAATGAACAAGAAAATTATCAAGAAAGGCACATAAAATATCAGTAATTCAAATCAAAATATCATATAACTCACCAAAATTCATAAACAGAAACTACAAACAAACATGTAGATGCTGTCATCTTCATCTAACGGCTAAAAATGGATAAATGATCCAAATTTCAGAACATATAGAGGCTTCAATCATGCTATTACTGTGTACCTTTCAAGAACAGTTGGCCAAGCAGATCAAGAAAACAAGAAATCCTGCAGACACAAGTGTAACATTAATATAAAATCACAACAAACAAAACTAAACCAAACAAGCTAAGTATATCCCACTCGAATGCTGTCATCCCACAAAGCCGTTTGCAACAAAAATCATTAAAAACTGTTGGATGAAGTAGGGTTATATTTTCCGTCGAACATAACCCCATCCAGAAGATTTTAATTGTTTGATATTAAATATAAACTATTAGAAGTAGTTTATCGCTACCCAAATGCCAAAAGATCATCTTGATGGATTATCACATAAAGAATTAAGAAGGATAAATATATAATATATATACCTCGGATTTTGCTTAACGTCTAGTGGTCTTCCCATTGGAGCGCTTGCCGGAGAACAGATGTTTCGGTTTTAGTGTTGGAATGACTCTGTCACCCTCTCCCTTTCTAGCATCCTTATTCCGCTTGTAAACAGAGCTCTTACCCAGTTTATGAGCCTTCATCTTTTGTGCAGAATCCTTATACCCTTCTCCAGGAACCAGCTCATGTATTGGGGGTCGTGACCTTGACCTGGAACCAAATCGGGATGAAGACCTAAATCGCATCTTCTTATTGGATCCATCATCCACGTCCATACTATCACCACCATTGGCATTTTCGGGTGACCTCTCCCTCTTACGACCTCTAGACTTGCTTCGAGCTCGTTCGATAGCTTTAGATGGATCAAGACCCAAAGATGACAATTGTCTACCCATTCTATTACTCGTGAACTTCTTGTCTTTGTCGAATTTTCTGGGTACAATCGGTCGGCTTTCAGCTGTGCTTTTCTTGATTCTGTGCTCACGAATAAGAATACTCTTCTTTTTCCTGATCTCAGCAAGTGCTTTTTGCTCATCTGGGGTCAAATCTTCAACATCCATCTCGACATCATCTTCATCCTGCTCCTGAAGAAGTCCTTCCTCTTTCTCCAACTCCTCAAGCCTCTGCAATATGTCCGGATCAACAAAATCGTATACGTTGTGCCCATCAAGGATTTCCGGCATGTCATCAAATTTCCATTCGTCATTTGCAAGAAGATAGTGTTTCTTTAAGCTAGCAGAATAAACACCTGCACCTCCATTTTCATTCTCAATATCCCTTTCAAGCTTCTTCTTCTCCTTAGCCGCTTCAACAGCTTTGGCTTCCAAGACAGCTTGAGGTATGCAAGCTGGCCTTTCTTTTTGGTCACGCGGCTTCGGCATTGCAACATGAAACCGATTCAAACAGTCGTTTATCTTTTTTGACTTCATTTTCAGTTCAACCCTCTGATCCAACAACCTCTCGCAAGCAGCATTTTTAACAGCAATCACTCCCTCCTCAGTCAAAGTGCTCATAGTCAACAGCACACCCCCACCGTCCGTAGGCTCACCACCCTGGCCAATTAACGTCTTCATAGCTTCTGCTTTCATCTCTTCGACCAACTTCTTGTCGTCCTCAGATATTGCCTCTAGTGACAGCAGATCTGTCTTGTTGCAGACTATAATTAAGGGCTTATTCATGAATAGAGACTTGATGCTATGGAAAAGGGCTGCCTGTTGGGCAATGGTGTACCCACAAGAACCAGAGATATCTAGAAAAAACAGCACGGCCGCTCTTAGATGTGCTAAAGCTGTTATACTACACATCTCTATAATATTTCGATCTTCAAATGGCCTGTCCAAAATCCCTGGAGTATCAATCACTTGATACCTTAAGTACTTGTAGTCAGCATGGCCAACAAACAAGGACTTTGTAGTGAAAGCATAGGGCTGGACATCGACATCTGCCCTAGTAATTTTGTTCATGAATGAACTTTTTCCAACATTCGGGTACCCACATATCAATATTGTTCTAGTGTTTGGGTCAATAGAAGGAAGCCTAGCCATGTGTTGCCGAATTTGTTCAAGATAAGCCAAACTAGGTCCAATTCGCTTTGTGACAGTACACATGCGACCAAGAGCAGCAACCTTCAGAGCTTTACACCTATAGAGAGAGTCGCCATACTTCAACAACTTCACATAATCCTTGGCAATTTTCCCAATGAGATTTCTAGCGGTGTTAATTTGACCAAGGGCAAGCTTGTAATGATCTTTGTTATAGAGAACATGAAGAAGGTCACCATAGAAAGGATGGATATCATCAAGCCTAGGGAACTCTTCGATGATGGTAGAGAGCTTTTCATGAAAATTGGTCTGTGTAAATTTCACCTTTCGCATGTAAAACTGCCTAATGCGGTTGATTGCATAGCCCTTGTGAACAACAGTAGGAGTTTGCCTCTGGGTTCTGCTGAGGATGATATCCACAAAGTCCTTCCCAGTGGGAACTCTGGTAATTTTCTTGAAATTATACTGCACCATGTCTTAATATTTTTGCCAAACACTGCAGCCAAATAAGTCACCATATCAGTAATCTGAAAACTTTGTCCAATACATTAAAACAGAAAGAAAAAAAGGAGATGATACATAAAAATTTATTGAAATATACATAAAATTACACATTAAACAAAAAACTGACCCTGCATTCCAACAGAAGATTCTGATTTTTATGTCAAACCTATTACCATCAACCTTTTCATATATAAAACCAGTGAAGCTATTGCACCAAAATTAACAAGAAAACTGCTGAAATTATAGTTCTTGTCCATTCAAACGCCTAATTTACAAAAGTAGAAGTTGAATGAAGTTATGGAAAAAGCCCAACTCTTAGCCTGTGGATTAAATAGCCGTAACTAATTGAAGTAACGTGGATACTTAAGCAGCTATAAGCAAGGATCTGTACTTCGTTTTATGAAGTTCTGTAAGCAAAGCAAAGCTCTCTTCTTCGAAAGACGAAAGCATCACGTTTTTTAAAACCAAACAAATGTTCTCTTTTCATAACTAAATTTTACAAACAAAAACACCCAAGCACCAGAACACCACCTAAGAATGAGAAACGAATCTTCAGCAACAGGAACAAATTAACATCGATTTTACCATAAGCATAGCAGTACTACGAACAAAAAGAACGCTTAGCCAGAATAACCACCATAAATCAAACGAACAAACAGATATTCCAACAATAATCAAACGAACAAGTTTGTAAATCGGAACAAATAATTCAGATAATTAAATCAAAACATGAGTTAAATACCACAAATCGAAGAGTTTTATGTGAAAAACATTACCAGGAACAGAGGAATTGAATGGGGAAGGAGATTGTCCGGCAAGGACAAGCACATAAACCCTAAAACTGATATGAATTTAGGGTATAGCCTTATATGACCATGAATTGGGCGGGCCAAAACGGAGGCCCAGTTGTTTGGTCTCAGAATATTGGGCCACAAGTTTTAAATTATTTGGTTAAAAAATGCAATACTGATAAATAAACGAAACTATACCGTGTTTTCTAAAACTTAATATGTAAATTGTAACGTAGCGAGATACATCTCGTTTTTAATATTTTGTTTTGTTGATGTTATAATACGATTTTATATGGTTTTCAGAAAAACGATAATATTTTTTATTTTTGAATAAAATATAAATTTGAAGAGATCATAAAATTTTGGAAAAAAAATGTCGATATTGGTATCAGATTAACTATTTAAAAGTTCTCGTTTTGTTGTGTAATTTTTATAATTCATTTTTTTATTATAATTTAATTTAGGTTTAATAACGAAGTTATTTTAATTTTGATTTAATAATATAATTTTTTATAAATATAATAATTAAGTATTTTGTTATAACACAATGATTATCTTAAATATATTTTAGATTTTTTAATATTTAAAATGAAATGTTTATCCTTTATTTGATTATTTTTATCTGCAGTTAGTTACACGAATCCAAATATGGAGCTTTAATAAGTTGTACTTAAACATTATTTTTCTACACCGTGTTACATTACTTTACATTATTTTTCTCACTTAGACCTTTTTTTCATAACCAAACATCAACGTTACAAAACAACACAAAATATAAAACAACCCGATGGATAATACCCATTTCATCCTCCGACATTTTCATTTCCATTCTTATTTCTTAAAACGAACCGAACTTCCATTCATTATATACTGTAACATTTCGTTACAACAAAATAACCTTATACAATTGATGTTTAAACACATATTGTACGTATTACTAACAATAAAATCAAACGAATACAGTAAATCTCACGTAAAATAAGATCTGGAATGGTAAGATATACGCGCTGTTGAGAATGGATCATCAAACTTGCATCATATAACTATCAATTGTCAAAAATAGAAAAATAATATCATGTCGGCGTTCTTTCTATCGATCAGAACGGCGGCAAATCATTTGATTTGCAAAGAAACGGGTAATTACTTCATCCTGCTGAAACTTGGGTTGAAGGCGGAAGTCTGTTTAGCTCGAAAACGGCATTGACTGTTGGCTTTGACTTTCCGTTCAGCCCGTGTTGACCAAACTGTTGGTCGACCTCCTCCTCCTGGACCTGACCAACTGTTTCACTTGGCAAAAAGTATAAGCAAATGATTGACCATTTGTCAAATATTTAAAATGTCTTTCGATGAAAACAAATAAAAGAAATTTGTGGATCGAGATCAATATCATTGGTTTTTATACAACGATCATAATGGGCAGATGAGTAGCTTTAAGATTGATCGACTTTTTAAACCATCATACTTGGATACAGGAGTGTTTCTTTATGGCTTAATCGTCAAGCGGTCAAGCCATTAAGCCAAAATGGCTAATATATGGAAGCAAGGACCCTTCACTTGTCCCCATTAAGCCATCTCAAACAAATTAATACCAGAAATAATCCAATACACTCTCTTTGCCTCTCTCAAACCCATCGGTCCCTCATATAGACAAATTTATCATCCAGACAGACAACTTAACTCTTACATGACTTAACGGAGAAAAAAAGTAAACAGCCCTTTAACATCTTAGTTAAAAAATCACAGTTTTCATGAACAAAGTAGCATAAATTTGCTCGCAATAAGAAAAAAGAAACAGAGAAACCCAAAAACGGAGTCGTTTCATGAAGAGAAAAGAAGTCTGACCTGCAAGAACAACCGCTAAGTTGGCCTGAGCATCAGCATCGGAGTTTAAGTCCTTCGGGAACATATAGAAGAAGAAATTTTCAAATATTAACAACCATAAAACGGAGAGTAAACGTAGCATTTAAAGCAATGAACTCAAAGTGATGGTACCCTTAAGACATGATTGATCTTGAAAAAGAGAAACTGATCCTTGAGTCTCTTTGCTTCTTCATACCACTTGATAATGTTTTCATGTCTCACCCTCCATAGACCTTGAATCTGTACCAAATAAGCTTTCTTTTTAGTACAATCATGTTTTGCTGCAATAAGATGGTAAACCAAAATGGTTTTCAGCATGCTGCATTTTGAGGAAATTAGGGCAGATGATGTGAAAGAAAATGTTGAATCATAGCCTCAAGATGGAAGAAATCATCCCATATGAATGTACTGATTAAGGGTGAATTTGGTATACAGGACAGGACAGGACATGACATGACAGCACAGAATGTGACCTTTTGTCCCACATATGGTGCGGCAATTAGACTGGGACCAGACTGGAGTGAGTGAGACAAAAATGAAAACGAAACCCACAAAAACGAGGAAATGAAGAAAATAGCATGAGGCACCTGCATGCAAACAAGTTTGGAATCACCAAAAACATGTATACTTGTGAATCCTTTGCTAAGAGCATAACGCAAACCCAAAATCATAGCTCGATATTCAGCAACATTATTAGTTGCTATACCCAAACCTTCACGCAATCTACAAAACTAAAGAAAGAGGTAGAACAGTTAAAGATTATAAGAAAAGAAACAACAAAATCCCAAAAAATTGCAGGGTATACCAAACTTCCATCAGCAGTTCGTAGCACGGCTCCTGCCCCAGATTGTCCTGGATTTCCTTTACATGCACCATCAAACTCAAGAATACAAGCACGCTGTCAATTAACGATGGATTAATTAGGTCAGAAAGCAATAAACTTATAGCAAAGCTGCAGAAATTAAGAATGTAAGCATAGGCAGGTTCAAATGAAAACCGTAAATATTTTGAGAACATGAGAACCAACTATTCATGCTTTATTCATGATGAATATCATGATAGATGTAACACCCCAAAGCCCAAAGCCCAAAGCAACGGCCTGGCCCAATAACTTCGGATCCAACATAAAACCATAGTGAAAGTTATTGATAGCCCTCAAATCCCATTTTCTATCCATGTGGGGCGAGCTATTACAATGAAAATGCATGATATTCACGATGAATAATACTCAGAATATGATTATTAAGAGTTATTCATCATGAATAATACATAAAATAGTTGGTTCTCAGGTTCTTTATGGTTCTGGTTTGAACTCTCCTCTGTATGTATAACAATTGAAATGTTGTGTCATTAACCTGAAACACCAACTTACCCCAGTTTGCGACCCCAAAACTTCCTGAAATATTATTTCGGGTTCATCAATGGAAACATGTGGATGATGCACATAGAAGATAATTATATTGAATTAAGCAGTTAAAGCTATCTTGTTTACATTTAAAGTTGTAGTGCATCTTACCTGAAAAGGGCATGGGACAAGTCTTCCAAATAGCTCTTCTCTCCAATCTTTGGCTCTGATGGAATAAAGAGCGTCTTTAAGCCCACAAGAGACCAAATATTCCTCAGCTTCCTTGGGCATGGTGCAACCTTTGTACACACTGACAGGAGGATCACATACCTATCGGGAAAACACACACGAAAATCTATTTAAACGTTATGCACGAAACATTTAAAGTGCTACATATTAGGCGGAACTTGAAGCACATCCTGATGACCATCGGCTGAAAGACTACAATTACCAAGAACCTTTGATACAGCTTCTACATGGATATCCTAGCTTGGATATATATACATACACACACACACACACACACACATATATATATCTAGAAAGATAATCAAATGAGAACCACAAAAAGGTTACAAACTTTCATCAAAAGCTATGATATAAGATATCGTTTCACACATGATTGTGTTCACCTGGCGAAAAAACTACATGTGAAACTTTTTTCTTTGGTTCACTTGGTGAAACGAAAAATAGACATAAAAAATATTCATATGGTGAAACAAATACATATGAAACTATCATATGATGAAACAACTATATGTGAAACAATATCTTAAATCATATCATTTGATAAAAAAATCATGATGAAACAACTATATGTGAAACAATATCTTAAATCATATCATTTGATAAAAAAAATCATGTAAAAATTTATTTTTAAATCGGTTCTCATGGGTTTGTAATTCTTTTGTGGTTCTCGCATGATTTGCCGCTATATATAGGGGTTGGGTCCCGATGAGAAGAAGAGTTAAAGTGAGAAGCATAAGAAGGGATCTCCCTTTAGATGACCATTAGGATGAGAAGCACCGAGATGAGATGCACCGAATCAATCCCCGTACCAAGCGCGCTTCATGGGTGGTTTTGAGATTAAAGGTAATCAAGGGTCCAGATCCCTTCTTACGCTTCTCAACTCTCCTTCTCACACAATCATTCGCCATATATAGTCCCTATATATGTAGCGTGGGGTTCCAATGAGAACAACCCTTTTTCATGACAGCTTAAGGAAAGGTGAAGATTTTCATATATTGTGTGAATGTTTGTTGTAAGAACTGTGAAGATACTTTTATATTGTGTGGAGATTACAACATTCATACAATATAATATAACATTTCAATTTTTTTGAAGGTGATGTGACAGTTACAATCTTAAAGTTATCTTCCCATGTTCTAAAAAATGTGAAAATTTCTAACATGATCCTCACTCTCTCTCTCTCTCTCTCTCTCTCTCTCTATATATATATATATATATATCTATATATATACACACACATACATATATGACTAGGCGGAGGTTCGAACAAGAATAGGCCCGGTGGTGTGTGGGCGACATGGCCTTAGGTCACCACCATCTTTGATTTAGCATCACATGTGGTGGACTATAACATCACAGACGATAGACTATAGGAGAAGGGTATTCTCGTGCTTCCATAAAACGAAGATGATCTCATTTGAACCCTTCTTTATATGACTATGTATATGTACACACCCACACATATCTATACTATATTATAAAGCATTTGACAAAAACTCTTAAAAACCATTTTTTATGCACTGATGCATATTACTTAAAATTCAAGATTACAAGTAATTTTACGTAAGTACAACTTACTAAAACTCCATTTTTAAATTCATGTAACTAACTACAGATAAACATAATCAAATACAGGATAAACATCCATTTTAAGTATAGAAAATCTAAAATATAATTAGGATAGTCATTGAGTTCTAACAGAATCATTATCTTTATAAAAAGTTGATTGTTAAGCCAAAAATAAATTATTTCACTATTTAAAGAAATTGTACAAAACAACGAAAAGTTTTAAATAGTTAATTTGATATTAATATCGATACATTTTTTCAAAATTTATTTTTATTCAAAAGTAAAAACATTATTTTTCTCAAAGCCACATAAACCATATTATATCAACAGAGACAAAAAATAAAACGAAACATTAAAAGGAAAATATATCTCGCTGCATTGCACGAGGATCATTCTAGTATGTATATATATACATATGTGTGTGTGTGTATAATAGAGTTGGATTCCGGTGAGCAAGGAAGTTATGAGAAGGTTAGAATGGATCTCCGCCCTTGGAGGATCAATTCTAATTGAAGATCAACACTCATGAGATGCACCGAGATACACCAAATCAATTCCCATGAGAGGCGCAATTCATGGGACGGGGACAAGATTAAAAGCAATTAAGGATTTAGATCATTTTTTAGGCTTCTCAACTTAACTCCTATAGGGTTTCTTGGTAGATGGAAGGAGCGGGTTTTTCACTGAAAAGGGCATGATTGGGAAAAAAATACTTTTCCGCATAAAAGTCACCTAAAAGCTTAACGAATAAGCCACTTTCTATATCATTAAACTACTAACAAATAGTTATTTATAGCTCATCAAATAGTTGCTAACAAAAACAGGCCCTAACTTAAAAGTAGAAGAAAAGGTGCTCAAAATTAAGGAAAATGAGGAGATGATAAAAGAGTATACCGAAGATCCAACTTGATTCTGACAATCAATTAAGTTATTGTACACACCAACAAGATCCCCTTTCCGTACAACAAAAAAAGCATTCTTCTCTTCCTCCACTATCGCCGCCGGTTTACAGACTTTCTTCCTCCTCTTAGACTTAACAACACCGGCGGTTTCAACAGAACAGAAGCACCGAGCACGAAACCTCGTTGAAATCAACTCGTAATTTTGTATAGATCCCAACGCAACACGATCAAATCTTCTTCTCGATGTGAAATTGGTGACTCCACAAAACGAAAACCTAACAATAGGACCAGTCGTTCTTGCAAATAAAGAGTTCATCGTCCTCCAAATCTTCTCCAGATTTTCTGCAACGATGGATTCTTCTTATCACCAACTTGAGACCTTTGCATCTATTTAACTAAAAGAAATGGATTCGGTAAGAAGATATACCCCAGATAATTGCTCCATTACTCTGAGATTTGTTGCAGTTTCTGCTACTACCATCAGACCCACAAACCCATTTACAATTTCTCGTGTTCTTCACCAAAGAAGACGTTCTTGGTCTAGACTCCACTGCAGACCACAGGATACAGGATACAGGATTTAGGATTTATCGGAGGTTTTAGATACGTAAAATATAAAAAAGAGTGAATCAAGAAAATAGTCCTCCAACTATTCCAAATATTCACTTTTGGTCCTTAAGAAAAAAAAACATCCATACTATCGGGATATTGTTAAAGAATCTTATAAAGGTTTAGGACTCTTAATTTGATTTAATTTAATTTAATTTAATGTGGTAGTTAATAATATCATATGCAACAACATATAGAGTAAGAGAGTCGTCATCGTCACCAGTAAAATTCTCCAACATTATCATTGTTTTTGACGGATAAGATCTCGATCCTTATTATGTTCATCCGATAAAGTAAATGACTCGATAAACGTCCCTCTACAATTATTTTCTAGTTCAAGTCATACGACTCAGGTATAAATGCTAATCATGAGGACTATTGTAATTTAGGTATTCAAACCGATTTCATTACAACTTTTATTTCTCTACGTCAAAATTGATTTATTAGATATCATATCAGGAAACCCTAAAAAATCTCCTTTATGTTTTTCTATATTTGAACATGATATACCAATTGTTACATATATATTTCCTGTAGATTTAAATGATGTCTTTAGATATATTTTTTTAGTTAAATGGTACAACAAATTTTGTAGAAAAATACTTTTTAATATCAATATAAAGTCAAAGAAATACACGTACCAGAAACAAACAGTCTAATTTTAGAACCCATAAAATTATGAAAATTTTGAAAATTGGTTCATTATGTACAATTTTACATTATCATTTTTTATCTATGACTTGGATATAATTTATCGATTAACATATATCTATTTCATAATATGTTTGTATTTTACATATTTTTGTTTCATAATGTGAACATTTTATATATGTTTGTTAAACAAAAAATACAACTAAAAAGTTTCACAGTGTGAACCAAATACACATCATAAAAAATAGATATGTTAATTGATATATTAAATCATAATCTTAAATAAATAAATAAAAATCATGTAAAACAATACCTTACAATAATAATTGTCGCAACTATCACAATATATGAAGTTCTCAAATGATTAAACCTCACACAAACATATTTAATTTCCAAAACAATTACTTAACAACATCAATATTCATAGCATGTTTAAAAACCACAATTCCATCACCTGTGACATGATTAGTGGGATTGTTTGTTTACCTCTTAATAGTTCTATTAAGAAAATGTCTTTGAATCTTTAAGTGATGAATTTTGTTTGGTAATTTTTTTTTGCCTCTTAATAGTTCTAAAATCCTCTAGATGATTTTGTATCATGGTTCTCCCTTAACCATTCAGCGTCTTAATTTCATTGTAAACAATTATCAAACAATTATATTTTCTTTTGCACTATATCATGAAAGCCTCTTAATCATTCTGTACCAAACCATTCAGCAACTCCCAAACAGCCCCTAACCAAACAAAGCAAATCTCACTCAAAAGTAGGATATGGAGCGTTGAGATGCACACGTCTAACTTCTACCTCAAAAGATGGAACAGTTGTATTCGAGAAGACCATGACCATTGTACAAGAGTGTGAGCAAATTAACATATGATGAGCAAAACACAAGAAAAATACATAAGAAAAAGTATCGGATAGGTACATTAACATCTCAAACTGTGATGTATAACAAACTTTATTGAGGTTAGAGAAAGTGAAACCTCAATGCAGAAGAACTTTAATACCAACTACAAAAACCAATCCATATCATCATCCTACTCTTCAATGATCAAAATTTCCCAAAAAAATTGGCAGAAAATTGTCATCAGCACAATCTAAAATTCAAAAACACTGAAAATGAAGATCAAAAGTCTAAACCATCATCTCCTGGTCAGCACTCACCAACAAAAGTCTTAAACCATTGTCAAAAGTCTAAACCATTATCTCCTGCAACACAACAAATACAAGTTGATACTAGCACAAGGACAACCATATCTAAACCAACCGAAAGAAAGTGATCACTGAGTCGGAGAACACTTATGGCGATCCAAGTGAGCTAAATAAGACCACACCAATAAAAGGCATAGTTTCTTTCAATTAGTAGYAACCTCATTATCGTCTTCTAGATCAATGAGATATCAGGTGAAATACTTGATCTCCTTCTTGAATACTGCACAATAATTGCTATTTGCTATATATAACAGTCTTGAACACTTGCTACCATTACTTAATTTGAACGTAGATTTAGCATATTTTCCTAATTTAGAGGTCTTAGATTTGTGCTATAAACTACTATCGAGTCTATCCATTCATCAATAAAGCCAATATCATATCTGAAAAGTATTATATTTTGCTCAAAATAATCTCATTTTCATATTTATCCCTTCAACGCTATCCATAACATCTTTGCAACATTACTATTAAGAACATATGGAGGAAGCAATAAGCTAAAATATTTTGAATTTGCACTTGTTTCGAACCACATTGACCAGACGAGACTTCTTTTTAGTGGTCCTGCCCATCTACCCACGATCGCCCTCTAAACAATCAGAACACTGTAAAGTCTGAAAACAAGTTTTGTACTCTATTAATTTCTCAATCCCTCTAGCCGGCAACGACTCCTTACAATTGTGCACCTACAGTACCAAATTGGTACAACCCTTAACAGTTGGTGAAGGATAAAGAGATGATAGCAAAGAAGACCAACATAGCATATTGTTCGTGCAGGACTTTACGACTTGCTAGACACGCTAATTAGTAACAGGATAAGCTTTCATCTCTAAATCACACTAATGCAATCCAAAAGCTAGAACAAGTTTCATGATACTAAAACCATGGCTTCATAATGTTTTATGTACATGTAAAACCTATCAATAAATAAAATTCCAGAGATCTGATTTACATGCTAAAGGTAAGTTACCTGCATGTTATTCGATGCATAATTCTTAATCAACCATTTGATCAAGATGCGTTCCAGATTTATGCAACTGCAATAAAACCAAACTTGCAAATTCAAAACGTTTCAACCTTCTGTTCTTCCATATACTTTTAACAATAATGCAAGATACCATGGATAACTTGCTTTAAAAGGATAAGTTTTTTGAAAACGAGATCATTCTGAGCCAAATATGATACTTTCTATCAATGAAAGAATAAACCCAATAAATAGGCTATTACTTAAACCTAAGATCCCCCGAGGAAAAAAAACGTAAACACTACATTCAAAATAAGTAACGGTACCAAGAGTGAAAGATTGTCAGATATACCAATTTTTAGACAAGACTCATAGAGAAGATCAAGTACTTCACCTTTCATTGGCAGACTCCCATTAAACCACTTATTTTGCAAAATGAGAACCTCAAGTATCAAGTAGTTTAGGCAGATCACAATGAAATAAAGACACATCAAATGCATTAGCTAATTAACATCAAGGATCACATTAGAAAAACTTTCCAGTCATCAAGGATAATGCATTTATAGCATCACTAGCACATAGGGTAATGATTTCACGACCTCAATTGTAAAGGTCTGCAACCACATTGCACATTGTTTTACCATTGTAATATGAAGCATCACATTTACCACAAGGTACATCCCTCCTCAAATGGTATAAAATCAACAGAGAGGAAAAGATTACACATTTGGAAAACACAATACTGGTTACAATATCAGATGTACCTTGCATATTTCTTTTTAATAAAGAAATGTGCACCAATTACAAAAACAAGACACAGAAAAAATTAGGTGTCCCTTGATAGCAAGGGACAATTTTCTTCTATTGTTGCACTAATTTTCTCCTTCGCATTTCCACAAACACCTAGGTGACTATTGCATAATTTTACATCTATCCTTTGGCCTGATGCACGACAAGCAACAAAGCAAAATTGAAAATTCAACTGCAAAATCAACACTAACTTATAAAACTGAACCAAGAACCAAAGCAAATCTAACACCAGATTGTAAAATCCACACAAAACAAGACAAGATCGAACGTTGGGTTGACAGTAGGAACATAGTAAATATGTGAGGTAAGAAAAAAAGAACACACAGATGTGCACCTTGGTTCAAGGGTAATCATGGAAATAAGACATCTCTGAATGGTATGGTTATCGGCTTATCGCCTATATATGAGCTATTCAAAAAGGTTTGGAATGAATTAGACGTAATTAAATTTAACCAAAGAACATTTATATTTAACCAAATCAGAGGCAGACTCTAAATGGCATCCTTGAACTGTAATCAAACAATACCTAAAAAGTGAAAAGGGACTCCTAATCATTCTATAGAAAATCATTAAGAATATATGGAAAAAAACTACGCATTCATGTAAGATATGTTAATGCTATCAAAGAACTGCGTGCATATACGTTATTGCCACACAACTTCGTATATATGGATTTGTTGATCCTCCATCCATCTCATGAATTGGTTAATTTGATCCTAAACAAGTCGGGAAGGTTATATAAAACATACCTATCTCCAAATTGGATGAAAAAGTCAAGTCAACTGTTCTCTATAACAACAATAAGAAAATGCGACACAAAAATCCGAATAGGTAAATGTTCATTAATTTCCACCATGTGTGTGCCTTTTGACACTTTGTCTTCTCTCATTGCAGGTTTTGAGATCTTGAACCTCTGTCAATGCATAATGTAAACAAGTTAGAATATTGTTAGAACTCGAAAACAATCAACAAGTATTACATGAAATTTTATCGAAGATCGTTTAAGTGACTTTTTGAAACCTACACCTCATATCTACAAAACACATACATACTATTTTCCAAAGAGGTATTACAGATTAAGAAATGGATGCAAATATGATCACCATTGATGTTTTGATGGCAAACATGAAACAAAAACACACCCTTGTTTATTTGTGGAGTGAGATTAGGAAGAAACAAGGAGCATACCTTTCTGGCAAGCCTTCCAGTTTCTATTGGAATTGACAAGACAATCCTGCAATATTTTGTAAACATGAAATTTCTTATTTCGCTTTTAGGGTTTTGCAATCTCTAGTAAATGAAGAATTGGACCACATTTTTACTTGTAATAGTAAATACAGAGAAGAGCATTGTTGGAGCTGTTTGACGTTCTCATCATCTTCATCTGCATCGCTCTTGTGAACCGGCGATGGCGGCAGTGTGTTCGGTTGTGGATCCATTTTTCCTTTGGGCTCTTTCACTTCTAGGTCTATGGCTCAGCACTTAGACTTATTTTGAAGAAAAATCGAACCCTAGAATTGAAATTAAGAAATGTTGATCGCCACACGGAAACCGTATAAATTAGGATACTTCTGAAACCAGGATAACTAATTTGAAAATTGTTTCAATGAGAAGGTAGAATATATGTATGTAAGCAGATAGACGTAAAACGTAGTAAACGTACCAGATAGAAGAAGGGAAGCAGGTAGGACGGGAGAGTTCGTTTCCTGCGTCTTCTGATGGGAAGGAGGAGGGCAGCGATGCCCTAGATACGGATGATGGAGGAGAGGAGAGCAGCGGTGCTCTAGAGGCGACGGAGGACGGAGGGAGAGGAAAGCAGCGGTGAGCTACAGGCGACGGAGGTCGGAGGGAGAGGATCGTAGCGGTGCGCTACAGGCGACGGAGGACGGAGGTCGAGGATCGCAGCGGTGCGCTATAGGCGACGGAGGACGGAGGTAGAGGATCGCAGCGGTGCGCTATAGGCGACGGAGGAGGGAGGAGGGAGGAGAGCAGCGACGAGCGACGGTAGGGTTTTCAAGGGAGTGTTTGGGAGGAGAGGAGGGCATGCGTCTAAAAAAGAAGTCAAATAGATTCAAACGTACTCTTAGAGAAGAGTAAATTACGACTTTGGTCCCTGGGTTTTAACATTTTTTAAGACTAATAAAGTCCCTAGACTTTAATTTAACCATGGATAAAGTGGTATCATTAAAAATCATGTGAAAAAGAGAGTTTATTATAAGAAATAATGCGAACCTTTAAACTCATGGTGATATTTAGGTTATGCTCAGCAAAGTAGCTGATAAGGTAGATGTTAAACAAATCATGTTTGAAAAAATTAACCGTTAAATATGGATATCCAACCCGTTATGCGAGTCGATTAATCTTAGGGCGACCACCTGCTTTGCAAATAGCCTGGAGTCACCACATTCCACAAGCGGTATGGGGACGTAAAAAGAGGATCCTATCAACTTGTTCTGACCTGGAATAATAAGCTCATGAGTTTGGTCTTACTTCACTGACATCCATGCCCAGACTGATAAACTATTCATACCAAAAGGGTATGCCAAAAGCGAGAGAAACCCATCCTTTTTTTTCCTTTTTACGTCCCCATGCCCTCTAATTCTATGAATTTTTTTAGAATACTCTTTTCTTCAATATCATTTAAAAAAGTTTCAGATTACCTTTTGACTTTTGGAGCCAAACTCAAACCAATCATACATCATTCTTGTGATTCTTTTATTTTAATTTGTTTTCGTAATTATACATATCATTTACTTTTTTCTTTTTGGAACTTCAATGGTAACTCATTTAAATAAATGATCCTAAAAAGGCGTTCACAAAGCACGTCATGAATCCACAACTTCCATTAACCACAAATAAGTAATGGTTTATTTGACAGTTATTAAATAGTATAAAATGATTAATTGATCATAATAATTAAGAAACTTTTATAATGTAATGTAAAATGAAATATAATTGTTTGGTAATAATTCAAAATGAAATTAGGGTGTTGAATAGTTAAAGGAAACTCATGATACAAAATCGTTCAGAACGTTTTAGCACCATTAAAAGACAAAAAAAAAAGTTTGTCAAACAAAATTCAACTTTTAGCGATTCAGATATTGCTTCTTAATGAAACTATTAAGAGGTAAACAAACAACCCCTTAAGTCCGTCTACTAATTTTTTAAAATTTAAAAACTAAAATCTTTAAAAAAATTACATTTATAGATATTTCAATAGTAATCATATTATTAACGTATTATATAATTTTAGCATCATAATACAATTTTAAATAAAACTTTACATAAAACAATGGTAACCCAACATCAGTGATATGAATGAAAGAAATAATCATTTATCTCTCTTTAGTTTTCGATAACTATATAAACTTGGAATTTTCTATGTTATCTCTATTTTAGAGAATCTTTTGAAGCAAAATATAAAACAAAATTTCTATTTTATGTGTTTTATAAAAATAATTTGTTGGAGATGCTCACAACTTTTATAAGTTCTTCTTTTCCAAAATAATAAGAGTATACAAGTTTATTTGTCATATATAAATATTATATACTTTAAAAAAAATCAAACTAATACGTGTTTATACAAGTAAGAGCATTTTCAACAAATTTATTTAAAATAAAGAATCAAAAGTCAAAATCTATAAAGAAAATTTATATTCATCTTAACAACTTCTATATTTTGGATATTACAATATAAATATATTAAACAACTTAAATCAGGTTATATACCAAAAACTAAAAAATATTACATTAAAAATATCAAACAACGCAAACAACTCCATATAAAAACCGTGCATATGGCCATGGTATGGCACAGACTTGACGTGGCACCAAAGACAAGCCTCGATCAACGACACACCACGACAGTATTCGTAACCAGCCTTTTAAAACACTGCTTAAAATAAAGAATCAATGGAAAGTCAAAAACATTGAATATCAAACTATTCAACTTTACCACTACAATGAACAGTCACCAAGATTCTCATATTTCTACAGAATACAAAAAACAAAATCTCTTTCTTTCACTGAACTTGATCAGCAACCACCTCTGTTCCTTTGGCAACAGCCATGGCAGATTTGCCACCATATTTTGAAAAAACACCAGAAAGCAAAGCCTTCTCCTTCATCTTCAACCTGCACCATCAACACATTGTTAACCACCGAACTAAAAACGGGTTTATTATGTAAAACACGAAACGTCGACCTGTTTGCAGATCCGGGAATGTTCAGTTTCGGTGTATTCTCTCCTTTCCGTTTAGCCGTCATCACCTTCTTCCCCTTTTCTCTAACTTTCTTCGGTTTCTTTGATGGCTCTGAACCTGTTTCAGGTTCCTGTTTTTCTTGAACCACATCATCATGATTTTTCGGTTTCTCATCATCCTCATCATTGGTTATTGATACAAGATCATCATCTCTTGTATCATCGCCATTACTGAACTTATCGAAAGCAGCATCCTCCACGTATGGGTCTAATGGTATTTCAGTAACAGGATCCGAAATTGGAAGAGGGTTTCCTGTTTTATGAACGGACGGTTTAATCAAAACTGGATTCGGGGAGCTTGATTTCATTATCTCACATTTGATTTGCTTCTGAACCTTGCCAAAAGCAATGGGCTGTGTAGAAAACGTATTCACAAATCTGACAAAAGACATGCTTCAGCATCAAGAGCGATCTTGCATAAAAGTTTTGATATTTGAGATCAAAATCATAGACGGACCTAGAGGGGTGGTTAGGTGGCACGTGCCACCGTATTGTTCCACCGTGGTAAGGTAAAAAAAATTAGGTTCGTGAAAGGTGCAACCGTTTTATTCTAGAAGGTGCAACCGTTTTATATGGTGCCACAGTATCCAAAAATTATTGGGTCCGTTTCTATTCAAAATGATTGGTTTTTACTACAAAATTTATTCGACTATTTGTTAGGGGAAAGTTCAAATGAGAACCATAAATATTTTGAAAACATGGAAACCAATTACTTATGTATTATTCACAATGAATAACCTTATTAAAATAATCATTAACATTATACATCATGAATATCATTCATTTTTATCATTAGTTTCGTGTATTTTCATTATGTAATTTTCTTCATGAATATCTATCACAACATTCATCATGAATAAAATATGGATGGTTGGTTCTGTACGGTTGCCATTACGACGAAATAAGAGAACCCTGTGGGCACGGAACAACAGTATCAACTTGTAACGACGATAATGGTACATAGGTAATTGTAACTTGAGGTACCTGTTTGCTTCCTTCTCAGACTTGAAATCAACAAAGGCAAAGCCCTTGCAAACAGGTTCCCTGGTCTTTTCGTTCCCAGAAACGGCTGGAATTATGTTGGTAATTCCAGAAAACGGTTTAAAAGCCGCTTGCAAGTCTCTGTGAATGTTCTTTTTCTTAGGAAGGTGAACCAATCGTACACGAACTCCATTTGGAGCGACTTCATTCACTGGAAAACAACAACAATAATAATAAGACGATATGGAACATTAATCTTTCTGGCAAAACCTCTACTTCAGTCACTATGGTTTTCTGCTTTTAACAATCTGATCAGTATGGTTTAGTTATGCATGCCATAGTTTCGTAGACAACAGACCTGTGAAATTTTGGATGTGCAATGAACGTAATGGTACCATTGTTAAGGAAACTAAGGGGTTGTTCGGTTGTTTTTCTATTAATCCCTGTATGGATAAAGCTGTCTGTCTGTATGGATTACTTTGTCTGTATAGATTATGCTAAATTGACTAAATCGCCCAAAATGTGAAATTTCAGTTCCTTGTTTGCAATAAGATGGATGTATAGTGCAACAACATGACATGTAAAAGACAAACAATCTTAGAAACATTAATTTTCTCCGTTTACATGATATTTGATGATCTGTATAGAAACCCAAGGTCTACCACTCTGGTACTGTACACCCTAGTACAATCTGTGCCCGTCTAGCCCCCTCTAAACACCAACAATATGTTCCTGTCTAGCCTTCATCGGAGTGGGCGTGTTGGAGTCTCACATGGCTAAACTAGAACCATTTCTTTTAAGTATATGTTGGAACCTCCCTTCTCTCCTCAAAGACGATCCTGGAGGGTAATCTAACTGGGTTCCTCGTATTTTCACATAATAGAAGCAGTAATATACTAAAGCTTCTACATGTGCATAGCAAACCCCAATTGGTTTAATATAAAAGGCCCAAAAATGACACTACTTCGCAACCTCCCATGTTCGGTTGGCTTGGGGAACAAATATTGCCTTGTAAAGGGCTGAATACCTCCTCTATCATCCGTGTTTTAAAACTGTCAGTCCAAGTGTGGATAAAACTGACAATATCTGGTATGGTTGGCCAGAATATTACAATTTATTATTCACCATAGCATAGTACGGTTTATGTTTGGTTGGTTTTCTATCAAGGTCCACACGAATAAAGTTGTCAGTGTTGATCTGTCTGTATAGATTGAGAGGGTTTTTTTATATATGGAACGAGTGTGTTCTTTAAATTGGAAGGGACATGTTTAGAAAAAACTTGGCATAAAGCTCCTCCATATAACTTTCTATATCATAAACCAATGCCAAACAGTGATGCATAGCTGTTAGTCCCATTAACCACATTAAGCTGCTGCTAACAAACAGGCCCTTCTCAATGCAGTCATTACATATTCCTCTAAAATTTTCAGATATCACATCAATTTTGAAATTAAAAACAAAACATTTTGACTATGTTCTTAACGTTTGCAAATACGGAATTCAAGAAAAGAGAAGATTCACAAACAATTATGAATAAGTTGAATAAACTAAACCTTTCTGTTTTGGAAGCTTTCCTTTAGGGTTTCCATCTTCGGGATTGTTCTTGAGGTTAGTAACATTGGCAAGCTGAGCAACCCTACTCTGCTCCAATTCCTCCATTAATTTATCCTCGATGCTCGTATCATAAACTTTCCCTTCACCAAACCCTCGTGGTTTGTTCTGAGTCCACTCTCTCATGTTCCTCAATGGAACAACAATCCCTTCGTCCTCCTCTTCGTCTTCGTCTTCATCTTCTTCTTCGAATTCCCCCTCAAATTCATCTTCGAAATCGAAATTCTCCGTTCCAGGCATGCTGATTTCGCCTTTAACTGGCGTTCTCGAGGCAAAAACAGGGTAAGCAGATGGTAATTTGATATGAAATGAGAGTAAATGGAGTTTGGGAGGTTGGATTGAGAAAAAAGAAAGGTGGATTTTGTTGGGGTGGTGAAGGGGGGCGGTGGGGGCAAAGGGGATTGGAAAAAGGGTTTTGGGTTTTTGAAGAACTCCATTGTTCATGGTGGCTATTGATGATTGAGAAGTCTGTAATTCGTAAGAGTGAATTTGAGAAGATGAAGCTGTGAAGGATTCACCGAACTTCAGTTTGCAGGTCCTTATTCGAAATCAATTTTTTCATGGATAATGTTATGTTCTTTAAAAGGAGTAAAGTTCAATTTTGGTCCCTTAAAATTTTAGTTTTTTTATAGACACCGTTCTTAAATTTTAAAAACTCGGGTTTAATCCATCATATTTGTCAATTTTTAATGGTTTTGGTTTATTTGTTTAACGGTCGTTAACTTTCTTCGTTAAGTCTAATCAAAAGAGATATTTTATTCATTCACTGTTTTCGTTAATATTGAAATTAAAAATCATATTATATTTTTAATTTTAAAATGTAAAACAAAAAAAAAAAAAAAAAAAAATGAAAGGTAGTGATTATCTTTTTTTTTCTACAATTTACATTTAAATAATTATGATATGTTTTTTTAATTTTGATATAAAAATTAAGAAAGTAGTAAAAATGACTAAGCACCCCTTTATTTAGCTGAATTAACGGAAAAAATTAGTGAACGTCATATAGGGGGCCAAAATCATTGGGAGTTAACAAATTGAGGGACCAAATCCAAAATTTTAAACTTTAGAAACGATGTTCATTAAAAATTACAAATATTAGGGATCAAAATTGAACTTTACTCATTTAAAAATGTAAACTAATTCCCAATAGGACGATACAATGCATAATTTCAAAAGAGCAAAGTTCGGATTTAGTCCCTAAATTTATTCATTTTTAACAAATTTAGTTTCTAATCTTATTTATTATAGATTTGTTTTCGACGTATGTAAAATCAAATTGTTGGTTTTTCTAACTAACACCCGTTAAGGTAGTATGTCGAGTCCAGTTAAATGAGAGACATTTTAGCTATTGTATTTTGGATTTAAATTTTGAATTCGAATTTGGTGACTGTAACAGGAAGTGTAGGTGGAGAAAGGCCGGAGGGTCACTGGTGGAAAAGGTTTCACGAGGTGGTGAATGGTTAAAGAAGTCGGAGATTATTTATAAGTGATGAGTAGGAATGTGACATGATTTTAGTGGACTATATAAAAAGTTATAAATTGTTAATAAAAAATAAGATTAAAATATGTAAAAAAAATGAACTCCAGTTAACGATTATATGAACGTTCGTTAGAGGCAGAGATCAAAAATGACGTTAGTTGAAAAAACTAAACTCGATAATTCTGCCCACTTCAGTCGCAAATTTGTATTGAATGAAAATTAAGAGCCAAATTTATCAAAAATGAAAATTAAGGGCCAAATTTATCAAAAATGATATAGTTTGTGGACCAAATCGGGAACTTACTTAGGGCAATAGTTTGCAATATAACCAAAGAAGAAGGGGTCTATATGTAAATAACCATAAACCGGTTATCAACCAAACTTGGATCTTGACCCGAACAACCTAAATCACAAATTCTACGCCATGCCTTCTTGCCGGTCTACAGACTTTCCGGTTTTCGTCTATTTTGTCGCCGACGCATCCCCAAATTCAACCTCCATCTATATAAATCAAAACCCTAATCCACCGACAGTCAAGTCACTGAATTCCATTAGTAGAATCACTCATTAATCCGATCACAGCTATGGAGCATCAGTCGTTCCACAATCTCTTCGAACGCCGTCCGTTGATCAAGTCCAAAACTCCTGCTGTTAAGTGGTTCAAAGAATGGTAAACCAACGAACCATCTTAATTGTGTTTATATATCGATATACATACGTTTATATCTGTGAGTGTGTGTGTTTGTGTATGGAGTATGTGATTGTTTGTTATTTTATGATTCTCAATTGATAAGGTTTGGTGGAAATCGAAAGGGAGAATCCGGGTAGTATTAGTAAATTAGATATGAAATACGCACTAGATTAGTTTTTTATTTTGTATTTGCACTGTGTAGAAACATTTGTTTTCTCCAATTATGTTTTTATGCAACTATTTGAATCAATAATTTTGATGTTCGTTCTTGTATCCGGGCTTTTACAATTGAACAAAGTAATAAGATACCGTCTTCTCTGGATGTTAAGGATTGGTAGGTTCATATCATCTGTTTGATTGTTGTTCTCCATACAGCACTGTTGGTTTGATATGAAAAGGGGTGTCAAAAGATGTAAAACATGCTAAAGACAAGGTCAAAGGAAAATTGGAAGACATAATAACAGGTGCGAAGAAGACAAAGGAAAATCAAATTGAAATTTCACTTAAAATGCTCTGCATTTTCTTTTATGTCACTTATGTGCATAGAGGACGAATGCAGAAAACTGTAGAAACAATTATGCATCTCTCAGTGAACCATCCTTTAACATGATTAAAGGGTTTGCAAGTGCATTGAGGTTCTCAGCTTTGAAAGGGTTGGAGAGGGAAGTCTTTTTATACAACCATTCCATTGGTCTTCTGAAAAGAGGTCTTGTGACTTGAACCTATGACCTTCTAATTACAAAGGAGTAACCTTACTGTTTGCATGGAGATTGAATGGTTGCTTCGGCTGGTTGACAACGGTTAGGGTGAAGGTCATCTTTCAAAATGATGAAGAACAACCTCCTCTGATATATTACATAGCATCTGATATCCTGCCATTATGATTATATTGAGTTATTGACGAGAAATATTGAAGGCAACAAAAGCAGCTTAAAGTGTCAGCAGTTTGGTTTTAACTTCTATGATTGAGTTGCTTAATGTTGCCTGAGAACTGAGGCTTGGTGCACCTTTTCTTTTGTTTTCTTTACCTTAAACTTTTCACAAACCAAGTGAGGATTTCAATTATATGCAAATGACTGCATTTCTCCTCCATAAGAGATTAAAAACGTATCTTGATCCACTGGTGAGGTCCTTGTCCATGAAAGAGGACTGTCAAAAGGAAAGAAAACAGAAATCCTTGCAGAGATGTTGGACAAGAAGCCTATTCAAGACTGTATACTGGACCACTGCTTTGCGGATCCAAATTTGTCAAAAAGGGGTTATTTCATATGGTTAGGGAAACTGTTTGTTTGTCCCATCTTCTTGTGTGTGAATTTCTGTTATAAACAATGGAATCTGGCTATTTTTTTTATATACTACCAAATTTATATACTATGTGATAAGAATAATAGCAACAACTTACGAATATAGGCGAATTACCGAACCATGTGAATTCCGTGTGTTTGATTTTCCATTTCTTGCAACTATTATTGTTTGTGTGATTATCAATCCAAACAAATATGTCATCCTTTGATGGTTTGGATTTTTCTATCTTCTTATTATTCTGTGGATTCCCGTTTAAATGTCATGCAAGCAATCCAATAAATTTCTCCTTCAGTTCTTCATGTGCTGGGTGTATATCTTCTTTCAGTTGTTGCCGACCTTCAGATTAACCTGGTTATTATTCGCCCAGGGTACCCCAGGATGTTGTAGCAACAGGTGGAAAATGCTTCGTTATGAAATGGGTCACAGGTTAGTAGTTATCAATCAAACAAGCAATACTTTCAGATATATTTTCTGAGGGAATTACCAGTTGCACAAAATTGTTTTTTCAACTTTCAACAAGATTAACTAAGTTCTTCCAGCTCTTCAAATTCCGACTCTCACAAGTAGTTTGATTAAGTGGGCGTGTTATAGCACTATTTGTAAGTCAGTAGCTCAGTGGTAGAGCGGTCGGCTGTTAACCGATTGGTCGCTAAAGGATTTGATATAGTTAGCCGTCATAGTGTAGTGCTTAGTTCATAGGACGAAGAGAGATTTTTTTGAGTCCCTTATACTCAGCTATTGTGCTTATTCTTGTGTATGTGCAACTAGAGGCTCAAATGAAGGCCATGAAAGAGAAGTCAAAAAATCCAGAGGCTGTACTTGAACCTGAACCCGAACCAACTACTGAAGTTCTTTTCCTCTGCAGCTACGAAGGCTGTGGGAAAACATTTATCGATGCCGGGGCTCTAAGGAAGCATTCTCATATTCATGGAGAGAGACAGTATATATGCCATTATGAGAATTGTGGAAAGGTAATCATTTCTGTATCTTTCTTTGTCATCCTAATCTTGATGATGACATATCGACATTTTATGTGGCATCAAGTATATGTTTTTTTTTGGTTAATCCATCAGCCATCGAAACTTTGGGTTATTCTGCAGAAATTTTTGGATAGCTCGAAGTTAAAGAGACATTTTCTTATCCATACAGGCGAGAGAGATTTTATTTGTCCGCATGAAGGTTGCGGTAAGGTGATTACTCTATTGCTCCCTATCAATGTCTTCCATAGTCTCTGCATCAATCCAAACCAGACCAATCCATAACTGAGAAATGGAATAAGTTAGGGGCTGTTTGGTTGGTTTTTCATTAATTCATGTATGGTTTAAATTTGTATGTGTGGATTAATCTGTCTATATGGATTGAGAAGGGTTTTGTCCAAGAGGGTCTTTTCATAAATGGAAGGAGTGTATTTTTTAAATGGGAGGGGCAGGTTTAGGAAAACTTGGCATTCTGCATAAAGCTCCCCCTGGAAGCTTACTGAATAAGCCACTACCAAACAATCAATATAACTGACTAAATAAACTACGAATCCCATTAAGCTCATCAAGCTGCTAACAAACAAGCCCTTAGTTCAGCCCAATCTTAACTGGTTCTGTACTGGACCTTGCTGGGAACCAATATTCTAAACTAGAGAAACCTAGAACTGGGATTGTTGTTTGTTGGTTCAAACCAACTTATGCAACTTCTAGTTTTTCTTGCCCACCTGTTATTTGTAGAAATTGGTTTTGGGTGGCGGTAAAACAAATTTACTGTCTTATAAATACCAACTCGGATGATCTATTTACGTCACCTCTCCATATTCTTGCAGGCGTTCTCGTTGGATTTCAACTTGAGGTCACACATGAAGACACATTCTCAAGAGAACTATCATATTTGCCCATACCAAGAATGTGGCAAGAGATATGCTCATGAATACAAGCTAAAGAATCACATTATGTCTCATCATGAAAAGGTTCGATCATCCTTTAGCTTCGTATTCATAGTTACCATTGATTTGGCACGACATTAGACTGTGACAAGACAAATAATGAGTGCGATAAAAATGCATTTTTTTCCTCTCCACCAAAATAGGTGGAACAAAAAGTTGGTAATTATTAAACTACCCATGTCAAAATGTCAAATTGAAATCCTAAAACCTTTCATAATTCTTTCACCTGCCTACCTCACTCTAAGGACTGTAAACAAAATGAATGTTCAACAAACTCTTCATGAACCATTGAGCGGGAAGTTCATTTATTTAATAAATAAACGAATATGAACAATGATCCTGCTCATTCATTTACGTTCGTGAACATTCATTCATTTGTGTTTGTTAATGTTGTTTATGTTTGTTTATATAAATATATTTATATATTATGACATTAATATGTGAAATCGTTAATTAAATTGAATTTTTAGAATTCCTTTTCTATCACTCCAATATACCCCGGTTTTTCATTTTGTTATGTTTTTTAGGAATGAAATGATGAGTAATGGTGGTATATTTGTGTTCGTTGTTTATGTTCGTTCGTTTATGGTTCGTTTAGCATCTTTGCAAACAAACATAGACGAACACGAACAAACAGATTTTCTTAACGATCAAACATGAACACAAAATATTCTGTTGTTTACTGTTTGTGTTTGTTCGTTTGTTTGGTTAAGTTAAAAGAACGAACACAAACAAGCCTCCGTTCGTGTTCGCTTGGTTTGTTTACAGCCCTACTTGCTCTCGCTAGTCCAATCCTGTCCTGCCGTATCTGCGTATTAAATGCACCCTTGCGAGAATCATGAAGTTCATATCAGTATGCGATTAATATTGGTGTTAACATTATTTTGTGTGATCATTCATCTTGTATGTACGAGACTAATTAAAAGGATATTTTTGTCTTTCAAAATTCCAGCAGAACAGCAATAACAACTTGATTGAAGTTGCGCCCAAGTACGTCCAGGTCCAACCTGTCGAAAAACCACCTCCCAAGCCACCAAAGGCGGCTGCAACCGCCACTTACGCCACTGCATCATCTGACCGCCCTTACGCCTGTCCATACGAAGGATGCGAAAAGGCTTACATACATGAATACAAGCTCAACCTCCATTTAAGACGAGAACACCCTGGTCATTTCCCTGACGATAATCCCAAAAACGCCCGTAACAAAAACAACGATACTGACATGGATGCCGGCAGTGACCACGAAGGATATGCTGTGAAACGTGGAAATGCCAAATCCCATAAACAGAACCGGCCCAAACCCACCATAAAGCTTCCGCCAGCGAAAGCTGTGAAGCGCAAGCCACCACCACCTGCTGCTGCCGCTAAGAAGCAGCCATGGCCGGTGGTTAAAGAAGTGCAGGAGGAAGAAGACAGTGAGGAGACTGAAGAAGATCGTGGCGGTGATAATGGTGAGGATGGGTGGAGGTATGGCGGTGATGATAACGACGACGACGAGGAGACCGAGTACGAGGACTAGTCTACAGGAGAAAGAGAAAATATATTTGTTTGGTCCATGGACTAAAAGTCTAAAGGATAAAAGTGTTTTTGGTTACAATGGTAATAGATTTGTTTATTTTTTTGTGTTATTTTGTAAATGTTAAACAAGGAGAAAATTTTCATCACCTGTTTAACCATGTTGGTTCTAGTCTAAGATAACTTGCTAGAAATTACATAATGTTTTTCTAAGTCTAAGGATATAAACTTATTGAAACCTTTTTCTAAAACTATATGGGATTTCTGTGTATATATATATATATAGTGTGTGTGTATAGAGAGAGAGAGAGACAGAAATAAGAACTAAAGTGAGAAACCTAAGAATGGATTTGGACCATTGATCACTTTGAATATCACCCCACCCTATGAATTGCGCTTAATAGGGGAATTGGTCATGTAACATATTTTCTTAATATTGATCTTCAATTAAGATTGATCATTTGGTGGAGATCCCTTATTATATTCTCACTGCAATTTTTTTCTCAGAGGAATCCAACCTGATAGATATATATATATATATATATATATATATATATATATATATA